TCCAGGCTATTTATCTGTAACTCCATTTTGTTTTCAAGATTTTGGATCTTTTTTATTATTATTCTAAATTCTTTTTCAGGTAGATTCCCTATCTCCTCCTCTTTAGTTTGACTTGGTGGGCATTTTTCATGTTCCTTTACCTGTTGGGTATTTCTCTGCCTTTTCATCTTGTTTAGATTGCTGTGTCTGGAGTGGCCTTTCTGTATTCTGGTGGGCTGTGGTTCCTTTTTAATGTGGAGGTTTCACCCAGTGGGTGGGGTTGGATGATGGGCCTGTCAAGGTTTCCTGGTTAGGGAAGCTTGCATCAGTGTTCTGGTGCATGGAACTGGATTTCTTCTCTCTGGAGTGCAATGGAGTGTCCAGTAATGAGTTTTGAGATGGGTCTATGTGTTAGGTGTGACTTTGGGCAGCCTGTATGTTGATGCTCAGGGCTATGTTCCTGTGTTGCTGGATAATTTGTGTGGTATGTCTTGCTCTGGAACTTATTGGTTCTTGGGTGCTGGTTGGTTTCAGTGTAGGTATGGAGGCTTTTGGATGGTCTCTTATTACTTAATGTTCCATGTAGTCAGGAGTTTTCTGGTGTTCTCAGGTTTTAGGCTTAAGTCTCCTGCCTCTGGATTTCAGTTTTATTCTTCCAGTAGTCTCAAGACTTCTCCAACTACACAGCACTGATAATAAAACCTCTAGGTTAATGGTGAAAAGATTCTCCACCATGAGGGACACCCAGAAAGGTTCACAGAGTTACATGAAGAAAAGGAGAGGGAGGAGGGAGATAGAGATGAGCAGGAGGAGAAAAAGGGGGACTCAAGAGGCGAGAGACAGATCTACGCAGTTCTCTGTTCCCAAAGTGTTCTCCGTAGCCCAGACACCCACAGAGATTCACAGAATTGGATTGGGAAGAGAAGGGGAAGGGAGGAAATAGAAGTGTTCTGAGGTAGAAAACAGAGAGTCAAAAGTGGGAGAGAGTAATCAGCACACTCCTGAGTAATAATGGGTACTGAATATTGGATTCTTAAATGTCCAAAACTGGTATCAAATACTGAAAAACAAAGATTAGAAATCTAGAGTAGAGGTTAGACTCTTAAAAATACAATATTAAAAACAAAAACACAAAAGAAATTTAGAAATATATATGAAGTTTGGTTTAAAATATGGCTTCTCTTTTTTTTTTTTTTTGCAAGGCTACAGTGAAATGAAAATGAAAATTAAGGAGTAATAGAGGACTTTAAAAGAAAATTAGAGAAAAAACCAGGGAAAAAAATTTTTTTCCTAATTAAAAAAAATAGTAAAAATATATGAAAATGAACATTAAGGAGTAATGGGGGAGTAATAGGGAATTTTAAAAGAAAACAAAAGAGAAAAAATAAAATAAAGAAAAGAAAAAAAATTTTTTTTTAAATTAAAAAAAAAATAGCAAAAATATATCTAGGAATTTCTCTGGAGCTGTTGCTGTCAGTGTGGGTTCGGTTCAGTTTCAGATAGCGCCTCATTCCAGCTTACACTTCTCGATATCTATAGTCCCCTTCTGGTGTAGTGGGTGTTATCTACAGGGATTTTAATCTGTTGTACTGGTCCCTTCTGAAGCAGTTCCCTTTGTTGATTTGGGTTCTGTTTGCCAGTCTCTTCAGTGTCTAATTTCCTCCCTGACATAGGCGGGCGGAGGTGGTCTCTTGTTTAGGTTCGCTGGCTCAGTTTTGCTGCGGGGAGGGAGAGGCGCTGCAGGCAGATATGGCTGGCTGGCGTGTGGGGGTAGCTCTCACAGTGTACCGGCCACACTGGGTTTGTCCCGCTCACAGGTGTGTGCTCTCCCCGTCTACACTGCTCAGGCTCCCGGCTGCTCTATATGGAGTGGACCCTGTGTTGCGTGCGGTTCCAGTGTTCGGGTATTCCACAAAAGCGTGGACTCGGTTGGGCCTGGGTTTTGTGCCTTCCCCACCCAAGCAGCTCAGGCAGCCAGGAGCTTGACGGGCGCACTCTCCCTGGGTGCAGTACGCCTTCTCCCCTCCGCGGTCCCAGCCTCAGTTTCCACGCACCAGTCAGATGCGTGCGCCTTGTGTCTATTCTGGGGAGCTGGCCTCTAGCCGCAACCCTCCTGGCAGATGTCGACCATCCAGAATCTCAGGAAGTCTTTGTTTAGAAACTGGAGGCCTGTTTGCAGTTTGGTAGGGGTGCTGTCTCTGGGGCCCAATTTGCCCCTTTCCCCTCCCCACTGCCTCCTGTCTCCGGCGGGGATGGGCCGGTCCACAGCCCGGCTAGCTCTTCTCTTGAATTGCTCAGTCCCTCTGTTCTGCAAATGGCCGGCAGTGTGTTCAGGCCGGTTAATTATCTCTCTCTCTCTTGCTATCCCAGTTTAAGTTGCTATCTCATGTTAGCTCCTTCAATTGCCCTCAGGGCATTCAGGCCCAGTTCTTACCCTAAGCAATGCCGCCTGTTCCTCTCTGTTCCGCCCCCACTTGCTGGTGGCAGATGCGGGCGTCTGGGGTACTTCTCTGCTGGGAGTTGCTTTTAGGCATGTAATCTGTGAGTTTTATTTATTTTTCCTCCAAGTAGGTTGCCCTCCGAGATTCGAAAACATCCCCCAGACCCTCCTGTGAGAGGGTTTCCTGGTGTTTGGAAACTTCCTGTATTATAACTCCCTTTCCGGGATGGGTCTCTGTCCCTAGCTCTTTTGTCTCTCTTTTTATCTTGTATATTGTGTCCTACCTCCTTTCGAAGACAGTGGGCTGCTTTTCTGGGTGCCTGATGTCTTTTGCTAGCAGTCAGTTGTTTTGTGAAGTTTGCTCAGCATTCTAATGTTCTTTCAATGAATTTGTAGGGGAGAAAGTGGTCTCCCCGTCCTATTCCTCCACCATCTTGGCTCCTCCCCCACAACTTAACTTTTTTTACGAATTTTTTCTTGCCTACCGTCCTTGGGACTTCTCAGTCCTGACGTTCCCATTGTCCTGCATTTCCTACAGCTTTATCCAAGCAGAACCTCTTTACTACATTATCTACTGAGAACCCGGCATGTGCCAGGTACTGTCTCGAGGCAAGGAGCATAACGCCACGTGGTCTGGCGTGGTCCAGTGCTGACATACACAGGAAGTGACGGTGCAGGGCTTCACAAGAAAGGGAGGATGGAGGTCAAGGTACCTAGCACAACCTAGAGGGTGAGGGGAGGACAGAGCGGCAGTTTTCTGTTGGAGGTGATACCAAAACTCCCTCTCCACTGTTCACCCGGATGAAGTCCCTGTTCTCATGGCTTAGGGGCAGACAGTTCCATTCCCAAGGGAGAGATTTTCTCAGAGAAACTAGGTATTATACAACATTTATAATACCCTTCAGTTACATTGGGGGTTAAATGGCTGGTATAAACTGGTCCACGAATCTAACTACATATAAAATATTGTCTGGGAAAATACTTGTAAAATGACAAATTTTAAAACATAAGTAAGCCAGTTCTAAGCTGGAGACCACTTATACATGGGTGAGGTGGTATTAACAAATTTAAATTTTGAAATACCCTACTCCTCCTCCCCATTTAAAAGTGTCTACTCTTGAGAATTTGCTATCTTCAAACCAAGCATGTTTCTTAGGTTGTAATATCACATGAAAATCATTTACATTTTGAAAGTATTATACTATAATCATGGAACATTAAAAAACACCAACCACAACAATCACAACAATCTAACAGATTAATAAAAGAATTCTTGGAGAAGGCAAACAAGTGTAATATGCTTTATTGTAGATTGTTGACTGTTATTTGGGGATGTACCAGAACCTCTGAACTGTCCCAAAGGCACGGAAAGCTGATTGAGGGCCTGGTCCATACCAACCTAAAGGCAAAATTATGTTGGCACAGACACATCAGAGCCAGAATTAACAGTGAAGCCTATGCTTAATGATCAAAGCAGTATTAGACTTAGGTTATTCTTTCTGTACAATTATATGCTGCTAGTACCTACGTAACAAAAATGTTATTTAGCCATAAATACTGCTCACTGAATGTGAAAAACCTGTTGATATATAAGAACTATAAAAGTAAGGAAAGTCATATTAAATGAAAAATTCCTATGCACAATTTGCCTTTGGGTGAAATTTTAAATGACTTTAAAAACTAACAGGAAAAATAGCTATCTCTGTTGTTTATGATGTTCAACCAGCTGATATGAAGGTCTGATGGACTACATCTCTCCTAAGCATTATTACAACCCTTCAGAAAAATCCAAATTAAATAGGATGGAAATAAAATTTTCAGGGTCTCTAATCCTACTGGAACATTTATCTTATTGGTGTATTTCCCAAAAGCAAATATGGCTCATTATTCTCAATGCTTTTTGAAATTTCCAAAGAGATGGCTATTTTCCATACCTCTTTTGACAAACAGACTTAAAAACAAAATATGAACAAGACTTTCGCAAGTATGAAAACTCAAGTATTTCTAAACAACTTTTCCAGGTAATTAATATGCTTCTTATAAACAATTCCTACATTTTTATAAAAATGTATAAAAATAGGCTTCTTAATGATCAATATTGGCCAATGTTTTCTCAACCTATCTCTGGCTAGCACTTGTACCTGAAAGTAAATGAAACATTTCCTTAGGAAGAGTTGATATCTGCTCTCGGAAATTAGTCTAAACTGGAGAGATTTCACGGAAATCAATTAGCAACTAACAAAAACACTCTTGGTATTGCTACCCTTACTTTTCACCACTTCTTAATAAGTCATTCAAAAAATAATCAAACTAAACTAAACACAAAACATGTGTATCAAGAAAGTTTAGTTCCTTTATTAATCAAGATTAGCAATCCCTTCAAGTTTCTGGGGGAAAAATAACTAAAAGGTTTCTAAAAAGACTCAGAGCTGTTAAGAATAAACATGAGTGAGAAAAAAAGTGTGCAGTACATGTGTAAATACACTGACAGGTAGGAACTGTGGATTTCAAGTTTACCAGGTTTGTTGACAGGTTGACAAAGTCTGCGTAGTCCTCGTTGATGAGCTCAACCATGGCTGTTTTAAGCGGCTACAGCAGAGCTCCAGGTCATCTCTACGTGCTTCCAGCTGCACTCGCTTGGGACAGTCAGACACAGAGTGATCGACATCAAAGTCTTCCTGAAAATAAAACCAGAAAAAAGGAATTACTGCAACAATGTCACATTTTACATATACAAATAAAAGGAGAGAGAACAACAGAGAAACGCCATTCTACTCATTTGAAAGGTTAACTGCTGTCAGGATAAAGCACTTTAAAACACACAGGACAGAAAGGTGCTCACACACTGTCAAGGTGCCAAGAGGGAGGCCCCTGACCAAGAGCGTTCTCTCCTGCTGCCTAAGTCCCAAAAGGGATTTCATTTGTTTTTAACTACACACATTCAATAGGCTCTTCTCAGAACAGAAAAGGTTCCTTTTCCCTTAAGTTTTAAAAGTAACAAGTATTCACTCTGACAAATTCAACCTATAAATAAAGCCATCCCTCAGCATCCATGGGGGCCTGTTTTCAGGACCCCCAAGGCCACCAAAATCTACGTATGTCCTAGTCTCTAAAATAAAATGGCACAGTATTTATATACACTTTAAGTCATCTCTAGATTACATAACACCTATTAAAATGTAAATGTTATATAGATCATTGGAAATACTATGTAAAGAGTTGCCAACTATTTGTCACAGCAAATTCAAATTTTGTGTTTTGAAACTTTCTGGAATTTTTTCCCAAATATTTTCACTGTGAGGATGGATGAGGTAACATCCATCACACAGTTACAAATTTCCTTTTCTTGCTATGGTAAATTTTAAGATTCACTCTCTTAAACTTTCAAATATACAGTACAGTATTATTAACTATAGTCACCATGCTATACATCACATCCCCATGACTTATTTAACTGATTAACTAGAAGTCTGTACCATTTGACCCCTTCACCCATTTCGTCCATTCTCCACCGCCTGCTCTGGCAACCACCAAACTGTTCTCAGTACCTTTGAGTTAATTTTTGTTTTGTTTTTTAGATTTCACATAAAAATGAGATCATGAGCATCTTTCTCTAACTTATGTCATGTGCATTAATGCCCTCAAGGGCCATCCACGTCGCCACAAATGGCAAGATTTCTTTCTTTTTAAAAAAATTTTGATTTATTATTTTTGGTTGCGCTGCATCTTCATTGCTGTATGCAGGCTTTCTCTAGTTGTGGCGAGCAGGGGCTACTCTGTGTTGCGGTTTGCAGACGTCTCAATGTGGTGGTTTCTCTTGTTGTGGGCTACAGACTCTAGAGCAAAGGCACAGTAGCTGTGGCCCAGAGGCTTAGCTGATCTGTGGCATGTTGAATCTGCCTGGACCACGGGTCACATCTGTGTCCCCTGAATTGGCAAGCAGATTCTTAGCCACTGTACTGTTGTAGAAACCAGTACTCGAGAAACCAAGCACCACACTGGGAGAGGTGGAGAACTCATTTACTACGCCAGCGGGCCCAGAGCAGTTAACATTCTAAGCTCTGAGCCCCAAACAGAGGGGTTACAGAGTTTTCATAGACAGACTATAGGGCACAACACTAGCTGCTAATAGGCTGGTTTAAACAAAGCAGTTTCATGTGGACGGGAACAGCAGTCAAGATGGGGAGGAGAATGCCTTTATATGGAAAGGCATGATTAAGCAGGTTTACAGGGGCTGGGGAACTGCAAAGAGCAGGACAAGGGTGGTGAGAAGCTCCAGTTCCTCGTATCTTAAATCCCCACTTTCTGAGACTACATGACCTACCCGATCCAGACTTTGTAAGGAGCAAGCTGAGTTACACAGGCAGAACAAGCAGGATGTTATGTCAAATTTTAACTTTTACTTTTCAGTACCACCAGTGGGGTCCAGATATAGTTCCTTTTCATGGCTGAATAATATTTCTGTGTGTGTGTGTGTGTATCATGGTTTCTTTATCTATTCATCTATCAATGGACACTAAGCCTGCTTCCATGTCTTGACTATTGCAAATAATACTGCAGTGAACACTGGGGACATACAGGTGTAAGCCTCACTGGCCACCAAAGCCAGGTGATCTAGAGTTGTCTCTGGGCAGCAACTGTAAACATCGGGGCACCAGACAAGTACCCAAGTTCCTTTCTAGGAGATACTGTCCAGCTGGAATGAGGCAGAGAGGGCAAAGACGGCTCCTGCCAGGTTCCAAGCCCCCAGAGAGTGTTAAATGAGAAGCTGGCCCCTCAGGCTGATGCTTTAAGATAAACAAGCCTCTTTCACAGAAAGTCTGGGCCTTTTTCAGCCACTGTCCCTGTGCCAGGTCCCAGGAGGGTGACCAAGTTCATGCTGCCCTTCAAAAGCTGTTTCTCACATCATGAGCCTGGTGGGTCTTGCAGATGTCAGTTCCACTGACTTTCAAAGGTAGATGTTTGGGGGCTCATCTCCCAGGTGCAAGTCTTTAAAGGAGGGGTGTCAAATTTAGGGTTCAGACCCTTCACTTCTCAGGGAGCAGCTGGGGATGGTAGCTTCCTTCCAATTGTGGGTCACCATACTGTGAGTGGGGTGGATGGTGAGACCATGTCTCAGCCTCTCCTATCCACTTTGATGTGGGTTGTTTGCCAGATGTGCAGGAGTTTCTCAGAGGAGGAAACTATTACATGAGTAGCTACTGATGTCATGTGGCCATGGGAGGAGGTAAATGTTGCAGGATCCTTTGCTCTGTATTTCTCATTAGATCTTACAAGGACGACTGAAGCATTTCAAGTAGACTTTTCCCTCTGTGTTCAGAAAGGTAGTTGGTTGTTTCTTAAGCATTTATTAAATAACTTCCTAAAAGTCTGAGATACCACTATGACATTGAGTTAGGACTGAAATACATGTGCAAGAATGACCCAAATCAAAATATTAGCTCATCAGTTCAAATCCAACCTAATTTCCCCTTGAAACAGAACCCTATATTAACTTGAAGTAACCAGTGGCACAGCATACTCTAACACGGTTCAATGCAGCAGATATGACTATGTCATTTCCTGCTTTCCACCTTACTGTAACTCATCAAGCGCAAACCCCTCAGTGCAGTACACGAGAACTACTTGCAGTCCCACCCAGCTGTCTCTCTACTTTTCCAGTCTCAATTCTGGTCATCCTCCCAGCCTCTCTGGACTAAGTCCAGTTTCTCAGTGCACACTGTGGTCTTTCTGTGATCATACTCAAAAGCCTAAATCTTATCTACCTTGTACTATCCAGTCTAGACTGCTGGTGGACACAATGCAGGTGATCAATGAAGTGAAGTGATAGACACTCAATCATGTCCAACTCTCTGCAACCCCATGGACTGTAGCCCACCAGGCTTCTCAGTCCATGGGATTCTGCAGGCAAGAATACTGGAGTGGGTTGCCATTTCCTTCTCCAAGGTGATCAATGAGTGCCTGTTTATTAAATGAATGATTACTATCATTGTCCTAATAGGGCCTCATCATGTGTGTGACAAAGTTTCCTTTGACTGGAAACAAAGTTTCCAATGACTGGGTTTTTTTAGTAACCTTCACTCTCCTAATGCAAAGGGACATTCTCTAACTTTCTCACAGGCATAAATTACAATATGCATTAAATCAGACAGACTTAAGAAATATAACCCCAAAGGCAAACTCTCTATCATTTCTGCCATGTGACCAAAACTTTCAAAATGTCTCTCTGAAGGAAACATAAATTGTAAGTAACCTTAGTCTCCAAGTCTCACTTAGAAAATCAACATTTAACCCAGGGTGGCTGTCCTATGTATTTTGCTTTTACATCTGAAGCGGTCACATTTATTAGCACTACAAATTACAGAGCACATTCAGAGGCTTAGGAGGCATGAAAGAATATGAAACTGCTGCCATTTCAGCCACCTCCCCAGTTTGCTCTCCCCTTCATCAAGTTCTACTTTAGAACTTATTTTGAGGTTTCTGCTTTCTGAAGCCTCTCTTCCCAAAGGCTTTCTTGCAGTTCAGAGCAAGAAACATGGTGGGGCTAGCAAGTCAGAAAGAATGCTGGTGTTGAGCCTGAAGGAAGCCTTGAAGAAGGCAAATTTGGTCAAGATAAGCTCTCTGTATTCTGAGATTCTTGAACAGAACAAAGCCCCTCATCTCTGTTTGCGCCTTGGCTTCTTTCAGCACACCTTGCCTCATCATGCTCTTTCTTTCTACCCTTGTTCCAGGACAGTTCTCAGCCAGCAGATGGAACAAAGCATTTCTGGATCGATAAGCTCACGTGGTACTCCCTTTCAAATGACGCCCTTCATCACAGAGGTTTAGCAGAGACATCACTGTACAAGGACAAGAGTACATTATTCCTGGGTCTAGATGGCCTGCATGATAAAAATGAATGGCCACACTGGAGAAGATCCAGATGTAAATGCTTTTTTCTTAAACTGCATCACTTACCTTTTTTACTACAGCTGAGATACACTGCTGTGCCAGTCCCAAGCGTGCTGCAGAGTAGCTCGTCTGTGTGCACGCGTGGACCCGCTCTGCTCTGGGCTCCTCTCCCACATGGGTCACTGAAGTGCTGGGCAGAGCTCCCTGTGCTGCACAGTGAACCTCTGCTGATCTGTTTTACACATGGTAGTGTGTCTATGTTAATCCCAGTCTCCTAACTTATCACCTCTCCTCATGCTTCCCCTTCGGTAACCATACAGGTCCGGCTAGTCAAGGCTATGGTTTCTCCAGTAGTCATGTACGGATGTGAGAGTTGGACCATATGCAAAGCTGAGCACCGAAGAATTGATGCTTTTGAACTGTGGTGTTGGAGAAGACTCCAGAGAATCCCTTGAACTGCAAGGAGATCCAACCAGTCCATCCTAAAGGAGACTGGTCCTGAATATTCACTGGAAGGACTGATGCTGAAACTGAAACTCCAATACTTTGACCACCTGATGCAAAGAACTAACTCATTGGAAAACACCCTGATGCTGGGAAAGATTGCAGGCAGGAGGAGAAGGGGACGACAAAGGAAGAGATGGTTAGATGGCATGACCAACTCAATGGACATGAGTTTGAGTAAATTCTGGGAGTTGGCGATGGGACAGGGAGGCCTGGCTTGCTGCAGTCCATGGGGTTGCAAAGAGTCAGACATGGCTAAGCAACTGAACCATACATTTAATTT